GAAGAACTAAACATAGAAAGGAACAAGTACCAGCCACTCCAAAAATGTACCAAATGGTGAAGAGTATCGACACAATGAAGAAACCATGTCAACTAATGGGCAAAACAAGCAGCTAGCATCAAAATGGCAGGATCAAATTCACACATAACAATATTAACTTTAAATATAAATGGGCTAAATCCCCAATCAAAAGACACAGACTGGCAAATTGGATAAAAATTCAAAACCCATCAGTGTGCTGTATCCAGGAAACCCATCTCACATGCAAGGACACACATAGGCTCAAAATAAAGGGATGGAGGAAGATTTACCAAGCAAATGGAGAGCAAAAAAAAGCAGGAGTTGCAATCCTAGTCTCTGATAAAATAGACTTTAAACCAAATAAGATCAAAAGAGACAAAGAAGGCCATTACATAATGGTAAAAGGATCAATGCAACAAGAAGAGCTAACGATCCTAAATATCTATGCACCCAATACAGGAGCACCCAGATACATAAAGCAAGTTCTTAATGACCTACGAAGAGAGTTAGACTCCCACACAATAATAGTGGGAGACTTTTAACACTCCACTCTCAATATTAGACAGATCAATGAGACAGAATATTAACAAGGATGTCTAGGACTTGAACTCATATCTGGACCAAGCAAACCTAATAGACATCTACAGAAATCTCCACCCCAAATCCACAGAGTATACATTCTTCTCAGCAACACACGGCACATACTCTAAAACTGACCACATAATTGGAAGTAAATCACTCCTCAGCAAACGCAAAAGAATGGAAATCATAACAGTCTCTCAGGCCACAGTGGAAACAAGTTAGAACTCGGAATTCAGAAACTAACTTAGAACCACACAACTTCATGGAAACTGAACAACTGGCATCTGAATGTTGACTGGATAAACAATGAAACGAAAGCAGAAATAAAGATGTTCTTTGAAACCAATGACAACAAAGACACAACATACCGGAATCTCTGGGACACATTTAAAGCAATGTCTAGAGGAAAATTTATACCAATAAATGCCCATATGCAAAGCAAGGAAAGATCTAAAATTGACACCCTATCATCAAAACTGAAAGAGCTAGAGGAGCAAGATCAAAAAACCTCAAAAGCTAGCGGAATACAAGAAATAAGTAAGATCAGAGCAGAACTGAAGGAGACAGAGACACAAAAAACCCTTCAAAAAATCAATAAATCCAGGAGCTGGTTTTTTGAAAAGATCAACAAAATAGACCGCTAGCCACATTAATAAAAGAAAAAGAGAGAATAATCAAATAGATGCAATTAAAAATGATAAAGGGGATATCATCACAGATTCCAGAGAAATACAAACTACCATCAGAGATTACTAAAGACAACGCTATGCACATAAACCAGTGGAAGAAATGGATAAACTCCTGGACACTTGCACCATTCCAAGCCTAAACCAGGAAGAAGTTCAAACCCTTAATAGACTGATAACAAGGGCTGAAGTTGAGGCAGCAGTTAATAGCCTACCAAGCAAAAAAAAAGCCCAGGTCCAGATGGGCTCACAGCCAAATTCTATCAGACGTACAAAGAGGAGCTGGTACCACTCCTGAAACTATTCCAAACAATCCAAAGAGAGGGAATCCTTCCCAAATCATTTTATGAGACCAAAATCATCCTGACACGAAAACCAGCAGAGACTTAACAAAAAAAGAGAAAACTGCAGGCCAATATCCATGATGAACATAGATGCAAAAATCTTCAATAAAATACTGGCAAATTGATTGCAACAGCACATCAAAAAGCTTATCCATCACGATCGAGTAGGCTTCATCCCAGGGATGCAAGGCTGGTTCAACATACACAAGTCTATAAATGTAATCCACCACATAAACAGAACCAAAGACAAAAACCACATAATTATCTCAATAGATGCACAGAATGCCTTTGACAAAATTCAATGACCCTTTATGTTAAAAAGTCTCAATAAACTAGGTATTGATGGAATGTATCTCAAAATAATAAAAACTATTTACGACAAACCCACAGCCAATATCATACTGAATGGGCAAAAACTGGAAGCATTCCCTTGGACTGGTACTAGACAAGGATGCCCTCTCTCACCACTCCTATTCAATATAGTATTGGAAGTTCTAGCCAGAGCAATCAGGCAAGAAAAAGAAATAAAGGATATTCAATTAGGAAAGGAGGAAGTCAAATTGTCTCTATTTGCAGATGACATGATTGTATATTTGGAAGATCCCGTTATCTCAGCCCAAAATCTCCTTAAACTGATAAGCAACTTCAGCAAAGTCTCAGAATACAAAATCAATGTACAGAAATCACAAGCATTCCTGTACACCAATAACGGACTTAAAGAGAGCCAAATCAAGAACAAACTTCCATTCACAATTGCCACAAAGAAAATAAAATACCTAGGAATACAACTAACAAAGGATGTAAAGGACTTCTTCAAGGAGAGCTACAAACCACTGCTCAAGGAAATAAGAGAAGAAACAAACAAGTGGAGAAACATTTCATGCTCGTGGTTAGGAAGAATCAATATTGTGAAAATGGCCATACTGCCCGAGGTAATTTATAGATTCAATGCTATCCCCATCAAGCTACCTATGACCCTCTTCGCAGAACTGGAAAAAGCCACTTTAAACTTCATTTGGAACCAAAAGAAAGCCCACATAGCCAAGAAAATATTAAGCAAAAAGAACAATGCTGGAGGCTTCATGCTACCTGAATTCAAACTATACTACAAGGCTACAGTAATCAAAACAGCATGGTACTGGTATCAAAACAGAGATATAGACCAATGGAACAGAACAGAGGCCTCACAGGCAATGCCATACATCTACAACCATCTGATCTTTGACAAACCAGACAAAAACAAGCAATGGGGAAAGTATTCCCTGGTTAATAAATGGTGTTGGGAAAACTGGCTAGCCATGTGCAGAAAGCAGAAACTGGACCCCTTCCTGACACCTTACACTAAAATTAACTCCAGATGGATTAAAGACTTAAACATAAGACCTAACTCCATAAAAACCCTCAAAGAAAACCTAGGCAAAACCATTCAGGACATAGGCATAGGCAAGTACTATGACTAAAACACCAAAAGCTGGCAACAAAAGCCAAAATAGACAAATGGGATCTAATTAAACTCCACAGCTTCTTCTGCACAGCAAAAGAAACAATCATTGGAGTGAACCGCCAACCAACAGAATGGAAAAAAATTTTTGCAATCTACCCATCTGACAAAGGGCTAATATCCAGAATCGACAAAAGACTAAAACAGATTTACAAGAAAAAAACAAACAAACCCATTCAAAAGTGGATGAAGGATATGAACAGATATTTTTCAAAAGAAGACATATATGAGGCCAACAAACATACATAAAAATGCTCATCATCACTGATCATTAGAAAAATGTAAATCAAAACCACATTGAGATACCATCTCACACCAGTTAGAATGGCGATCATTAAAAAATCTAGAGACAACAGATGCTGGAGAGGATGTGGAGAAATAGGAACACTTTTACACTGTTGGTGGGAGTGTAAATTAGTTCAACCACTGTGGATAACAGTGTGGTGCTTTCTCAAGGACCTAGAAATAGAAATTCCATTTGACCCAGCAATCCCATTACTGGGTGTATATCCAAAGGAATATATATCGTTCTGTTATAAAGACACATGCACACGTATATTAATTGTGGCACTGTTTACAATAGCAAAGACCTGGAACCAACCCAAATGCCCATCAATGATAGACTGGACAAGGAAAATGTGGCACATATACACCATGGAATACTATGCAGCCATAAAAAACGATGAGTTCGTGTCCTTTGTAGGGAAATGGATCAATCTGGAAACCATCATTCTCAGCAAACTGACACAAGAACAGAAAATCAAACACTGCATGGACAATGAGAACACCTGGACACAGGGAGGGGAGCATCACGCACTGGGGTCTGTTGGAGGGGAACAAGGGAGGGACAGCAGGGGTAGGGAGGTTGTGGAGGGATAACATGGGGAGAAGTGCCAGATATAGGTGATGTGGGGATGGAGGCAGCATACCACATTGCCATGTATGTACCTATGCAACAATCGTGCATGTTCTGCACATGTACCCCAGAACCTAAAGTGCAATTAAAAAAACATATATATATATATATATATATATATATATATATATATAAATAAAATTCTGGCCAGGCACGGTGGCTCACGCCTATAATCCCAGAACTTTGGGAAGCCGAGGCAGGTGGATCACTTGAGGTCAGGCGTCCAAGACCAGCCTGGTCAACATTGTGAAACCCCGTCTCTACTAAAAATCCAAAAAATTAGCTGAGTATGGTGGTAGGTGCCCATAATCCCAGCTACTCAGGAGTCTGTGGCAGGAGAATCACTTGAACCTGGGAGGCGGGGGTTGCAGTAAGCGGAGATCTCACCACTGCACTACAGCCTGGGCAACAAGGGCAAAACTCTCTCTCAATAAAAAAGAAATTCTTTCTGTTTTCATTGAGGTCATTTATTCTGAAAGTTCCTTTACGCTCTAGTGTCTCTTGCGCTTTTGGGTACCTCAAATCATGATTGCTAACACTTGCTTTCTGTTTACCGGGTACTATAATAAGCATTTACATATGCATTCATTTAATATTAAAAACACCTCTCTAAGGTAAGGACTATTACTAATCCCAATATAGAGATAAGGAAACGGACGCATAGGGTTTCCCTTACACAGGTAAGGAAACTGATCAGTGCCCAGGTCCACACAGCTAGTAAGTGAAGGAGTTGGATCCAAATCCAGACAGTCTGACCCTACAGTCTTCCTTTCAAATGTGTAGTGCACTTTGGATATCTGCCTGTGATTAAAAGTTTCAAGCACTAAATTAGACAATATAGGCAGTTGTCAGAGGCTTTCTCTGCTTTTGTGCAAAGCGGACAAATCACGATAATCATTTTTATATGCTCTATTCTCCTCAACTCGCTGACATTTCTTTCTCCTTTTCAGCGCAGGTTTCTCATACTTCATGGAGAAATAGAAAGCACCAGATGACAGCTACCATGCATTTTTGTCCCCATTGCTATAGGATGCTTCTAACAATCATAAAATTATGAAACACCGAACTCCTTAAGAGTTGTCCATTTGTGGATTTATCTGACGGTAACTATTAAATATTTAAAAGTACCTTTAATGTATCTACTTGTGATGATTGTCTGAATAATCTATTCTCTGAATTCCATCATAAAACCATTTGATGATCAAAGTCATGGATGAACATATTACTATAATCCTAAGCGGATAAGATAGAGATCTGTTTATAATATACACAACATATTTTTTTATTCCTAAACTAATAAGATGATTATCAAGCTGTAAGAGACTGTGAAAATCAATACTGTATACTTGGCTATACTTGGTGAGAATTTTGGAAACATATTTGTTCTTTTATTTGTGTTCTGGAAGATACTTAGACTACTTTTAAGGACAAGTCTAGGCCTCCTTATCCTTCACAGCAAATAGCAAACATAGTTATTACTGGGGGTGAAGAGACACTGGTCAAGGGGTACAAAAGTACAGTCAGATAAAAGAATGTGTTCTAGTGTTTGATAGTACACCAGGGCAATTATAGTTAACAAACATTTATCGTACACTTCAAAGTAGCTAGAAGAAAAGAACTGTCATGTCCCCAACACAAAGAAAAGATAAATGTTTGGGGTGATAATATACCAACTGCTCTGATTTGATCATTACACATTGTGTGCAGGTATCAGAATATCACATATCCCCCCACAATATGTACAACTGTTGTATGTTAATAAAAATAAATAAAAATAAAAAGACCAAAATAGTAATTAATTATAGTGTCATTCTTAGAATAGGGCCAATCTGGACAAGAATCTATTCAACACCGTATCCTCATTTTCTGGCACCCCGTACACCCTGCAGAAGTAGTTTTGACTGGTCCTGCAGAGGTTCCACCCCACCCTCACCAGGTGTAGGTGGATGCCAGGTGCCAGGCTGGGAGAGGCTCTAAGTTCTAAGGAGAGTGTCGGTGGACGGTGTGCTTTGATCTTTTTGTTCATACGGCCCTGCCTTTGATTAACAGCACAGAACACTGGGCCCAGACTCTTGCCAGAGGATGCCTTTGAACTGTTTGTCGCTCACCTTTTATTGAAAGCTCTTGACAGAAATATTAAAGAAAAAGTATTTAAAGGATGTGTGGTCAATGCATTCCTGATGGTGACTCTTTTGTGGATTGAAAGCTCAGAAGTCCCACCCTGGAAAAGTACTGAGACCTATGCAGACAATGGCGTGTATAACTTCAGAGGCCTGGGCTCTCTCTTGAAGTGTGTATGATGCCCTAGAGGGTCCTGTCCATGATGGAAAATAAGCTGCAGTGTTTGCCACCTCTAATCAATTGGTAGCGAAGACTCAGAGCACTGTTTGAAATGGACCTGAGCCCAGTTTGGTCTAAGCAGAAAAGAGTTCTATATGGATCCACACACTGTATGTAGGGGTGAGGAACCTCCTGGGCCATGGGCTATGTTTTTGATAACTTTACTCTGGAAATTAAGGTAAACTACTAGCAAGCTGTGTACGTTGACCACACACTTTACATACTCAGTTTGCATTTAGGGAAAATTTTTAAAAGTTTTCCATGACACCTGTCTTCACTTTTTTGTCAGAGAACACTGGCCATGACATGTCAGATAAAATGTCCTTGTCAGACCTAAGTGTCAGGAAAATCTTTGCTTCACTGGAGAATTTTATTCTTTCAGGGCAAAATATGAATGACATACAGTATTCCTCTTTGCTTTTTCTTTTAGGAATATCAGCTTAATGTCAATAATTGCATTGCATGCAATAACAAAAACCATACAATGATACTAATTTTTATTTATATTTCTATCAATCTATCCCACTGTTGAGCAAGTAATTCTTATATACCACTCCAAAGCCTTTGTGGAACAAATCAAGATATATAAAGGTAAACAATAATATTGTATAGAGGTTAATACTTGAATTCTCCCATGAAAAACAAAAGTTCTTCTCTCTTTGGCTTCAGAAAATTCATTAATTTTCCTGCTTTAAGACTGATAGTAATGAACACATGCTATCAGCACATTTAAGTATCTGACTAACTACAGTTCAAGGCTCCCCTTTCATACTCCTCTCCAGTATGACTGAATAACTTCTTTTCCCTCCAGACAGATATTTAGCCTTAAATTTTATATAGAAGGAGGAAGAACAAAAAATTTTAAAATATAAAAGCAATATAATTCTATAGTGGGATTCAGAGTTGTTCATTTTTAATAAAAAAAAATCACTAGTTCAAATTACTTCTCCGAAATGAGTTTCCCAGCTCACCACCGCTGGTGAGCCGCCTCACCTGTTACCTTCAGTGTTTGCCCATCATATTTTCCCCTTTAAGTGTGGAATTGTTCCCAATTCAAAGATATGTGGGAGAGAGGTGCCTGGATGGGTAGGATGCACAGAAAACCTTGTATACGTTCTCCAGGAGAAGTTTCTGTAGAAGAATCTAACAGCCGCAACAGATGACATCTGGGGAGGTTTGTAGCTAGCATCATGAAGGAAGCCTTAACTGTTACACAATCTTTGCAATACTTTTCTTCTGAATTTCTTAGGACCAGGAAGCTCTATTGCTCAAGTTGATTTTAAAGCCCACTGGTTTCAAAACCTGCAAAAGTGTTCATTGAATTAAAAAACTTGTTTCTCAACCTCTCGGTTTGTTGCCAAGTTTGGTAGACCGGAAGTTTCTACCTGCAATGCTCCAGCTGAGCCAGCACTGCAAGGGAGAAGGCAGGGGGCCCTGGGCTCCGTTCTGCGTCAGTGCCCTCCTACCTGTGTGATCTCTGCAAAGTTATTTAGTCAATCTCTCAGTCTCAGTTTTTGCATATATCAAGTAGGGATAAAAGTCATATCCAACTTTCAGATTAACTGTTCAAATTAAATGCATGTCATGTAAAGTATATGGAGTATACTAAATGCTCAATAAATACCAGTTCCTTCCCTTGGCCTTTCAGCCCCTCAACTCCCCGGCAATATTTTCAGGTGAAGAAGAGGTGAGAATTTTCGGTGTTATTTACACCAAAGATCATGTTTCAGTAGTCAAAATAAAAGTGACCCTATAATCTAAGGAGATTAGTGAGGAAATTAATGTGGTCTGAGAAGAGGACACAATAAGTAAAAGCAGGCCTGTGCAGAAAACCTGGAAAAAGTATGTTGCACATCATCTCTGCATCCTTCCCTCCCTCCTCCTTCTCTCTCCCACAGGGTAGTACAGCAAAGAAGGTAGAACTCAGGGCAGGGCGTGTGTCTGTTTTGTTCACTGGTGTACCCCAACTGTGCAGAATCCTTATCTAGATTGGAAGCTCGATAAATATTTGATAAACTGAATTAAATACTCAGAAAGAAAACAGACATGTTTTGGGACTTGATATCCTGTTTTCCCTGGAGTTCAGCAATAAAAATTTTTAACAAAAAATTAAAGTCTTTAATTTTCTATCACAGAAAAAGGTGTTAGATTAGATAAAGTATTCATTTTCCTCAAGCACATACCAAAAAAAAAAAAAAAATCCCCCCCGAACAAATAAACATCAACAAATGATTTCTGGAAATGCAATGTAGCACTAGGTTACAAATAAAGGAAAGAGCGCCCCTGCTGAAACTGCTGTTTATCTTGCAAGGGCCCTCCAGGGTGCGGCTCTCTCACCCTCTTCCCGCCCAGTCTTAAACTTCACTCTGAGTATGCAGAACACAGCTACGACAGGGACAGGAGAAGGTAGTTTATTTGCATAATACAAACAAAGACTCCCAGGTGAATGGTTTGCCAGTTATCAATGTTTGCTTTGCTGATTAGTGAAACATTAAGTCTACCTAAAGCCTAATGTGCTATGCTTTTTTTTTTTTAACCAGAAAGTTGGTCAATGGAGAAGGAGTCAATTGGCAACATTCAGTTCAACTAATTAATGACTCAGTTTGCTTTTCAAAAGCTACTAACAGACAGCATTAATCTTATCACTCTCTAAGCATAATCTGGTTGTAAGGAATCACTCAAATGCCTTAAGTTAGGCTGCAAAGTTTTGAAGGAAAATGTCAGAGATTTTGTTTTGTTCTGTGGGGGAGGAGACTCCATAAGTGCTGAGGCAGGAATCAGAAGCCTCAGCCTATTACCATATAAACAACGAAAAAGAAAATAACTAGAGATATAACCATCGTAGTTATTCATAGGTGATCTTAGTTACTCATATGTGATCTTAGTTATTCATAGGTGATTTTAGTTCTTTTACTAATGCCTCTCAGTTAGTGGAAGTGTGAACCTGGGTAACATTGTGAAAGGAATGACCTTAAGGCAAGACGCTTTAAGCCCTCTGTCAGCCCGTGGAAGGGCTGCTGGAGGGCGCTTTGGCGGCACGGCAGCCCAGCACTGGGAAAGCATCTGCCGTTTAGCAAGCTGCGGAAGGAGATGTCAGAGATGTCTCTTTCCCCGGAGAAGTTAGGAGAAAACTCTGCTCCTCCGAGCTCTTGCGGTAGGCCTGACAGCTGTCAGGTAGGCCTGCAGACATCCCGGGGATTAATTGTCTCTATGTGATGCTGTGCGTCAGTGGTCAGGTTCCAGGTCCACTCTCAAGTTCCGCTTCTGCACCTGGTTCCTTTTTTCTTAGAAGAGATAATTATTAAAAGGAATATAAATCTTAATGTCTTTGTTCTTTCTTGACAAGTATGGAAAAGTGCTGATGCATTATGCTCCTTACCTCATCTCAGCTACTAGAAAGTCTTGGGACCCTACCTACATGACATGTGATGTACTTGACCCTATCACTAACCACCAATGTCATGCCCTATCTACCCTGCTCCCAGCTTTGTACTCAATAAAAGTCAGAGTGTGTGGACCTCGGGGCCACTGCCAGACTCCATGCGTTGGTTAGCAGTGGACCCCTGGGCCCAAACTCTCTTTTCTCTATCTCTGTGTCTTGTGTCTTTTACATCTACAGTTTCTCATTCCACACCAGCAGAGGGGGCTCAAAGGACCCTGTAGGGTTGGACCCTACATGGTTTTGGATGTCTGGCATCTGATAAGCAATGGATATTTTGGTAACCCCAAACAGCATTTCTCTGGATACTAACAATGATTACATTAATAGAAATAGAGATTTGTGGAGAGTTCCACCGTGATGTGCTCTGGGAAAACCCACGATGACGGTGAAAGAAGAAGGATCGGGTGGAAGGGCAGCCAGAGTCTCGAGCTGCGATGCCCTTCTGAACTGGCCCAAATTGAAGCAGTGGAGACGAGTCTTTGTGTCCCCTTCAGTGGCCAGACATTGGATGTGGGCTACCCATGGAGGAAGCATGACCTCGTGTGAGGCAGCTACCTTTGGCCAAAAGCAATTTTCCAGAAGGGAAGCAGCTTAGAGCCATCAGTTGCCATGACTTCCAGCAGCTGATGGAACAAGTACCTTGGCTCTGAAGGGGTATCTGCATGGCCAACTACAGCATCCACTAAAAATGGCAAGTTTAAATAACAAAATATTTAGGAATGAGTACTTCCCATGTAACCTGTATATAAAGGACGCTTAACAAATATTTGTCAAATGAATAAATGAGTGGTTATTTGGATGGAAGAATGATAAGCAATGGATTTAAACTCCATCTAATGGATTTAAATAAGGCTGAAGACAAATACAGAATTATAATAATAAACCACTCAGAGCAGAAGAACTTCTAGCCTAGGTATCTGTATTATGACTTTATCATTAGATTTAGTTATTCAAATTCTGAATTTATTAACCCTTATGGCAAAATTAGAGGGAAAGGAT